GCGCATCGGAAATGGAGCGCATTGTACAGAGTCTGCCACCACCATTCTACATTATGACGCTCTCAAGTAAACATGCGTGGCTGGAGAATTTGATCGCGCACAATAAGTTCAACCAGCCGCGTCCCGCACCAACCGTATTTCTGCATTCAGTTGACACAAGCGAGCAAACGAGCGATTTTTGTGCTCCACGTGCGCATGCGCCTACAGCGTCTTCCGCGGGCCGCTGCGGGCGCTCTCCACATTTAGGCCAGCCGGGCAGAGTCTATTGTTCAGAGTTTGGTGCGCGTGGGAGCCGACGCCAACAGCGGCGTCCACAGACCAGCGGTTCTCAAATCTCGTCGAGGCACGTGGGGTGGCGGCGGCAGCCTTAGACCGCGAGGACTCTGTCGGTATGCCGAAGCGCTGTTCCGCTTGTGAACATTGGTCGTGTTAACTGTTGCGCTGGTGTGCACATGCGCATGCAGATTGCGTTCCGAAAAAAATCCATTGGTTTTGGTGTGCACATGGCTCGTCTGTTTTCTATCCGGATGTAAGGAGTCTTGTTTGTACACAAGCCGATCTAGTCAAAACGTGGCCTTGAACATTATTGCATAAACCAATGTCGTGAGCGTGGGTGACATTGCATTTCCTATTGCGTCAATTTAACTCCTCATGATAAACCGGCTAGGGAAATGAATCCGCGACAAAATAATTGGGTGCGTTATTTCGGTGTTATATCTGTATTTTCTAGGTGGCGTAATGTTTGAAATGGCCATGAATCAGGGACACATAGGTTATAACTGGCGTCTCTTGTATTCATGGTACATGGTTAAATCGGTTCATTGAAGTAGAACAATTTATGTACAAAGATCAGGATGAATGCAACAAAATTCGGTCAATGAGTAACGTAAAACTAATTTTGTCGTTCAAACCATCCGCAATGCATGTAGTGTCGTCTTTGCAGTTGGTAGCACAAGATCCTACAGAAGGAAGCAGTCGGGGATTCGCGTAACTCCAGTTTCCATCACAGGGGTGGTTTGAAAACCACTGACCGCTCTTGGCAGCTTTTCTCGAACGGAAAACTAGACCAAAATTAATCAGCGACAACTGATTACTCTATCCAGTGTGGAAAGGAGACGGGACGACCAATCATGCATCTGTCATCTAATAGTAAAATGGCGAAGCGTGGCTGTCACCAAGCGAGACTGTCGGAAGGCAATGCGAGTCTAACACATCTAACGGTTGAATTTACGTGAACATCCCTTAACTGGGCACATGTGGAGAAAAATAAATGCCGCTTCCGCAGCTTCCCGACCTGATGAGGTAAAAATCTGAACTGCTCTCATCTCCCCGTATGTTTTGCACGCGACATACACATCTGAGCTCTGGCGGCGGAGGAGAGCACCTGACAGACGTGTGTAAGCCTGACAAACGTGACAGGCAAGACAAACGTGACAAGCGTGACAGCATCCTGCCATCCCTGCTGAATATTATGCGGCGGGCGACCTTCCCAGCATGTCTGCCCGTGAGCTCGGTCGGCACGTGCGTTATGTACGCGAGGACCCGCAAAAGGGAAGCCGCGTGGATGGCGGCTGAAGAGTGAGGGAGGGGGGAGGGGTAGACGAAGATGACAACGAGTTGAAGACGGAGAGAAGGAGAGGCGAGAGAGAGAGAGAGAGAGAGAGAGAGAGAGAGAGAGAGAGAGAGAGAGAGAGAGAGAGAGAGAGGAGGGAGAGAGAAAGAGGGAGAGCGAGAGATGAGAGAGAGAGAGAAAGGGAGAGTAGAAAACCATCGAAGAGATCGAAAGAGAACAGAAAAAGGCGGAAGGAGGGAGTGATACAGAAATGGAGAAAGGATAATGGAGAGGTCGGTTAAAATAGACTGAATGGAAGGGGTTAGAGTGTGACCGAGAAAGAGGGACGAAGAAAGAGAGGGATGGATGGGAGAGAGAGAATGAGGGGGGAAACGTAAAGGTGAATCGTAATTGCAGCAGCCTGATGATCACAGCTAATGTAACGCCAAATTTTGCGTCTTCTTATGGCAAATGGTTGCGGCGTTTGGACGGACCCAACACTTCCTCTTACATTCGGAGATGCAAGTATACGACGTAATGACGTCATTACAACGGTACCCAAGACGCAACTTGGAGCCAGTTAATTAAACGCGTCTCTAATTAGCCCACTCTAATCAAAGCTCGGTGAACTTCCACAATGGCATAACTGCCTCTCCACAAGCGCTGTAAACAGCCGATGACTGCCGCAGCCGTTCGTGCAGGAATGTGTGCAGTTTCCGCCCTCTGCAGTCGACGCTCCTCCACATTATTGGCGCACTTTAAATGACGCCCGCAGGCGGATCTTCAAACAATTCTTGGCCGGGAGTAACTGGTCGCCGCGCGACGTAACGTAGCGCATGACGCTCTAGGCGCACGAAACACCGACCCCACGGACAATCAAGCCACCCTCCTTCCGGGACACGGCAGGCACCCATCCAATATACGGGATGTACCCAAAAGTAGGATCAAGCCTAGCATTTTAAACTTTGTTTCTACGCTGCAAGAGAAATATTTCGAAATTGTGTGCAAGGCACACCTCCCCTGGTCTTTGTATTCCCTTAACCCATATCCCCTTAACCCCGTTAAGAGGAATATGGGGTGCACATTGACCCCGTTGTCACCCGTTGCCTTTGCATGTCTGCGCTCCCGGTCGTCACATTCTGCTGCGCTCGTCTGCAACAGATGCCGAAGCCGGATCTGGGTGTTCTGGATCTGGGTAATCCCCGGTGTTCAGCGATAATCTCTGGGGACATCCGCTCACACTGCTGCTCAATTGAGCGAAGCTAGTGATCCTGGCGTGGTGTAACTGGAGCCGACGCATCGCGGGGCGACTTTAACTCTTCGAACGCCCCTACACACACACACTCACATCCAAGCTTTCGACGCCGTCCCTGTGGCTGGCAGCGAGCCCGAGTCCGCCTGCTGCAGAGTGTGGGTCGCTGCAGTGGAGCGCGATAGCCCGCGGGCGACGTAACTGCACCCATGACACCTGACGGGTCCCGTTCGCTGCGCGACCCGCAGCGCGACCTCCGGCTCCGCTGATCGGGGTGCGGCCCGCCTCGTCAACGCGTGATGAGGCCCAGCCCGAGACAAGAGCTGGCTGATGAAGCGGTACGGAAGCCGTAGCATGGCACGTGTCTCGAATGTAGATTTAGTACAAGCATGTGATGTAGCTGCTGAGGCACTCTGGTGGGTTGGGTTGTATCAGCATCATCATGCCGATAATGAGAGAGCCCGATGTGTGGTAGTGCATATAGATGAAACCTTTCGTGGGGAAGTGCATAGACTTGTCAATCGCTAAAAATGCTGCTGCTGCCAAGCATGACGAACACGAGAGAAACTTGGGCATGATCTGCGGGTCTGATCAAAAGGCGGTTAAATATGTCCCACCTGGTAAGTTACCCTATAATCTGCGGCTTATTTCAGAACAACTCGGACCTGTTATGATTCCCGTGGCGGATTCATGACCCGAAAACCCCAACTTGGGCGACTACTTGACTCCAGTGACGATGATTGGCAGTTTTCGCGCGCTTCGGCCTCAAAGGCCATTTCACGCCGTCTGTGTTCACTCTCTATGATCACCGCTCTATTAAGAGTGGGGCCGCCATGACGTGACCGTTGACTACTGCTTCACAGCGGAAGTCGTCACCGAGTCGCCTCCTGCAAAACCCCAAAACAAATGTTTCGGCATTTTTCTGGCTCAGAAACTGATTCTCGTGCGTAATTTGTTGAAAAACTTGCTCTCGCACGTAATTGGCTCACAAAGTGTTACGCCAGCACGGCTGCAGAGGCGTATTTAGGTTGAGATAGACGGCTCTAACCTTGACCCTGAGAGCAGCCGGGCTCAATCAATCATGATAGACGTCATGATTTGCACAACGTGGGAGAATAGCCTTTTGATCCCCTGGTTGGGCCCAACGAAGGGTAATTAGGATATAAGCGATCTGATCTCAGGCGGGATAATGAGTAAAAAACTGAGTGGGAAATAAATAGATAAATAAGTAAATAGGAAATGCAGACTGACCTTTTTACAACACCCTTTCAGGCCCATGTTTTCCTCTGGAACTCTTGAGACCTTATATTTGTGTATATAGCCCAACGGCCCAATATTTGTTTCGCATAGCCCCATAGATCTCGCAACTTCTTCTCAGTCGCCAAAGGCCAATGTGCATGTCCATAGGGAAATGCCATAGGGCTGGCACCACTCCGACACATAAACAAATGCACATACCGTCAGCACCATAGTCCCGCAAAAAAGAGGACACGGAGGAACTATATCGATGGATCTATATATCTATAGTTCTCTGGCGAGCTTTCGTGCTATTTCCTTAAAGCCCCTTATGGGTGTTGGTTCCCTGTTCATTTGTCTGTTCTCGAGCGGATATTTAGTGATGCTTTTTGAAAGATAAGTTCTGATTAAAATTTGGGTCAGGGTGTTGTTTTCCATTCAGTTTGGGGTCTCCAGTCATCGACTTTGAACAAAAATTGACCAAGTTTTAAAAAACTGTTTTTTTCATTTTTGAGTGCAGGTATAGCTTTTCTTCCATGCTCGTCCTCTCAACTTATTTTGCAAAACTGCACCCTAGGATTAAGTGCGGTTAAATTTTGGCACTGAGATTCGTACTAACACCATTTGCGTGCAACCTAATAGTTTGTGGCACTCTCAGGTATGCTGCTTCTTTATTTCCCGAGAAATATCCCGTATCGCGGCACAGGGTTTCGTAGATAAGCCATTCTTAGAGCATGCATTTATTGCATGCGACGACAAGCGACTTCTTTTAACTTGATTTTAACACCCTGGGGAGCATCCACGACATGAAATCTTCGATCAGAAGCCTGCATTTCTTCGACACTTATTAGGTTCCACATATTTGAAAATTAAAAACAAACGGTGCGATAGACTTACAATATACAACGCAAGGTTTTCAAAGCCCATAATCCTCGATTCCAGTGGAGGGGCCAACCTTACCTCAGTTCTGTGAGCGCACATCACCAACACAACTATTGCACTACCCGTCACGACCACCCAGCTTCGCGACCTCATTGTAGCTCGTGTTCTTGGCACAAGAGTTTGTCTCACAGACCGCTCACTTCAAATGCACCGCGACACCGCGCTCTTATTTGGAATCTCTCAGGCTGAGGTGCACGTTCGTCCGCTCCCAATTTCCCCGCAACGGAGGCGCCCGGCGCGTTTTCAACTCTCCGGAGCAGGGGAGCCGGGCGGCCGTCGCACGCGCTCCGTCGTTGCGGCGAGTACGGCGCAGCGGCGGCGACTGAGCGCGCGCCACTGGCAGCCCGCGTCTCATCGAAAGTGAGAACTCTGTGTAACGGAGAGCCGGCCAACTGGGCGATAAAATTAGGCCTTGGAACCCTCTGAGGAGTTGAACGCGCGGGAGGCAGGTGCGCACTCCCATGGCGTCTTTTAGCGTTAGATGCAGGTAGGCGTCATGTCATCGAACAGCATTGGGATCTGAAAGAGATCGACAGCATTAGTGAGCATTCGTTGGTAACACGCATGACATGCAGCCATTGGATAATTTTTGCCGTTCAAGCGAATGCATTTGAGAGAGAAAATTGGCAGAATCGCCCAGCTGTAGAGCATTCAGTGCCACGTCAAAATGAATGACTATTTCGGGCTGGCTATGATAGCATGCAAGCATAACTGTCAATCCTTTATGATACATATAAGGTGGGCAGCGTATGAATCCAGGCTGCTTATAAATTCCTCAACTTATCGGCTGTTCAAAAACTCCCCAGACATCATGGAGGCAGGCGGTGGGAACTATCGGGGAAAAGGCACGGTCCGGCGCTTTTTAACGTGGCTCCGTTGATAATATTCACTGACCACCGGGCTTTATGCTCACGATTGTCTGCGGGGGTCAGTTTGACCTCTCCATTCGGACCTCAAAATCAACTGGACCGATTTCACCGCTTAGCGGCTGAAAAAGGCTGAAAGCAGCTGCAGTGACCGTTGAGGTGTCATATGCCTCTTAACATGCACATAGTCGAAACATATCCCAGTGGCATGGGTGGCATATTATGTGTTCATGATCACGACACGTCTAAAGAGTACATCGCACTGCCGGTTTCGTCAGGAATCTAAGGAATGATGCACGCTCTCTGGTGGCATCTTTTGTCAGCGACTGAGACATGACTTTCCCACCAGGAAAGCACGTGCTATCTCTGGTTGGGACTTCGCCGATCTACGGCGTCTGATTCATCAAAGCACGCCTCAAAATGTTGATCGCAGGTCAGAAACTGAAATTGTACGTAGACACAATACTTTGAACAAAACCGTTGATTTTTCAGTCAGGTATGCTGGTAAGGGGATAAAGATTCAAGTTCAGGTCATGTTGTTATTCAAAAGTGTTGTTACAGGTGATCTATAACTTTCGGCAATTCCGAGCATGCTGGAGAAATTTCTCCCGATTCGCTTGTAACTACAGCTCGAAGGACGCTCTTAAAATCTGGCTAGGTTGGTGCAACTAATGCTTTACCATTGGCTGTGCGACTGTTAATTCTATCAGAACTAGAAATTGCCAATGCATAGCATACATTGTGTCTGGTATGGATAATAGTTGGGAGTCCTCAGCCGAGCCATCTGATAACTAAGCGCAAGCCGGTTGGATGCATCATCGGCCCATGACAATTCGATTGCATGATGATTTGGATGCATGGTGATTGAGATGCATGGTGAATGGATGTATGATCAGCTCATGATTGGTGGGTCCCCGATCAGTCAAGTCGTGGCAATAATTGATATATGATAAAAAATAAAAGCAACAAAGAATAATAAAAAAGACAGCTCATGTCGCGGATATTATTTTGTCCGTTTGTGTCTGGAACAAAGCTCATGACATGTGAGAAAACATTGTTGTCATGATAATAACACTGTTGTCGTGATAATAGTATTGCTGTTTGCTACCACGAAAATGGTGTTTGTGTAGCATATATTGTAGCATTTTGAATAGAATGTTGTCCTACTGGAAAGTAGTGCAATGTGTGCCCTTTTAACAAGGAATAGAACCGGCACTCGTACGGTCAAACAAGTAGTATCACGACGCCTCTTAAATGTTAGGAGACGCCGTTCTGAGAGACTGCCACTGTTACCCGTCAGGTGTGGGCCCGTTCATCCTACCAATGGGCGGAAAAGCTTAGAATAGCCGGCCCTCCTTCTGTAAGAGATTACGATCTTCTCCGTCTTCATATAGTGGCGTTTGGCCACTTTTGTGGATAACATTTCACAGTATGTCTGCGATGGCAGCATCATACCATGCTTTACCCCTTCCCAGCAGATTATTTCATAGAATCGTTGCTCAACTTGCTCGGTCATTTCTGTTCTGGCAGCTCCAGATTGTCAGTTTGTCTACTTCGTCGGCTAAGTTGCTCCCTTTGTCCAGCGGCAGTTTTAGCGGTTCTTCTAAACCTCCTGTCGAAAACACGCACGTGCGGGAATTTTTGACACGCATGCCTCTTCAGTAGTGCACGCAGATGTTCTGCAAAGCTAGGGGGAAAATCCAGCATGAGCCTCGCTTTTTCCATGGAACGTCATTAGATCACCGCCCTTGGGGAGGCGAAGAGGCAGTGTGTCCCACCGCGCGCTGGTCCCGCAATCTACCGCCCAGTCCGTCGTCCTCTCCGACACCTCGCCGCCAGCCAGTCGTCTCTGGCGTGTTAAGTCGGCACCTGATAGCATCGCAGGACCCGTTGGGTAACCCCTCGAGCGGCCTCCCTTTTCCTCGCATCCCGCTGCGTCGGTGAGGTAATAGTGAGCGGTTCGGCCGCCAGGTTCGCTGTCGTCGATCGCTTTGCGCCATCGTGTGTGTGTGCCCTACTATACGAGTAGACGCCGATGGCCGCTGGCTTACTGTTGGGTCATGTCTGGTGGCTGCTGCCAGCAGTTCCAGTGGAACCTCTGAGGAAATGTGGGAACACGGCTTTGGCTTTGCTTCCGTCTCATGCGTCGACGTATAGTTAATGTATTGGTTAATTATCAATGCTTCAGTATCTTAGATTGAATAATTGGTGAGTTAAATATCATACTTTTGATAACTAATTAGTTATCATAACTTTTAATTAGCATCATAACTTTAATATCTGTTTAATTAAGTGTGAAATATTTGAGTACTTTTGTGGCTTTTGTTGAAATTATCAAACCAGCGGGAGGCACACCTCCCCTAGTTCGGCTGCATTCAAGAAAAGTGCAAAAGGGAGCTTGGGCTTTTTTGAGTCATCCCTTTAGCTTTCATTTACCATTTATTCAGCCTGTTATTGAAAGTTCCTGATGCCACTAAAACAGACAGGAAAACAACCAAAGTATGAGCTTAACCGTAGCCGGTAATTGCATTTGCTAGCGTGAATCCCTGGCAGCGTCGTAAGCTCTCATGATAGTAAAACCCTACTGTCGCTCTGAGGAAAGAAATAGTTCAAAAATATTTAGTGATATAGAGTATTATGGATTTGCTGAGCAAAATATTTCGATGATATCTTGATAACTGTTTCGCCTTACACCTACGATATATATATATATATATATATATATATATATATATATATATATATACGGCTCTTTAGCACTTATAGACATATGCATAAGCCTTTATATTTCATGTTTAGGTTTTGGATGCTGCCGAGGCAGGAGCAGGAATTAGATTGCTCTGGCCTTTGCCTAGAGTGCGGTTTCTCCAACCGCGCTTACCCTCGCATTCATGCTATAAGTCCCGAGAGCCATGCCAGCTGTGTAGCGACACTTCGGTAACCATCGCAACGGGCAACGATCACTGGTAACGATCGATCGTAGCGATCGATGAGGTAACACATCGCAGACATGATCAGCATCGTCCTGCTCTGATCCATCTCCGAAACGGTTTCAATCTGCGCGCAGAACTCTGAACAAACCACGGGAAGCTCACAACAAGCATGGTGCAGCCGCGATGACGCGGGAAAAAACAGCGCGGCGCTCCGTTGACTTGTGCAATCACCAGCCTGCTTCTTGATAGTCATGTTGCTGTAAGGCTCCCGCTTCAGCCACAAACCACAAGTTGCGTCCGTGCTTCCCGCCGACGGCTTCCGCCCACTTTCAAGCCCGCGCCACTCGAGGTGCGTCGCTCGTTGACCTTTCCCTGACCTCGGGAGGTCGTTGTTCAAGGTCAGGAGAGCGGCAAGTACGGGCACTGCCGCCGGCACTTTCTAGTCGCGGTGGACGCGTAACCTGGCGACGGGCGTAACCTAGCGACGGGCCTCTCAGGGTTACTACCGGCACCGGCGAGCGATAGAGAGGGAGGGGGAGGGGGCGGGTACGCTTGCGCCGCACGATGGGGTGTGGTTGGCGGTGAGAGGAGCTGTGCTATTGCGCGCGGCAGTGGGGAGGGGAGGGGCGGGGCGGTGGGAGAACGTCGGTCGCTCCACTGTGTGGTGGCTGCCTACACTCGCCGGTGGGGTGAATGCCTCCACGAATTTGGTGCCGTTTTTTGGTGCTGTGCGTGTGTTTTTTGGCGCTCTGCGTGTTGGTCTGTGTGCAAAACATACTCGGCAACGGAGACCAATATCACGATACAGTGTTGTTCAGTCCAAAACAATTTGGGCATACAACCGCATTGTTAATACTTACCTTACCTTCAGTCGGTTGTTGTTGATTGTAGTTTAAGGGTACGTCGACTACTGGGGTCATTTTGCGTCCACCTTCAGTCGGTCATGCTCCATGACTGTATATTGTTATATGCAAAATAACCATCGAAATAATTTTTTCCGAGCCCAGCGGCTGGATGTCCTCAGCTGTCTTGCGATATCCTAAGTAAGGCAGACATGCTGTTTTTGTCGACCTCACGGGATCGGGCACGAACTGAAGACGAATGCCAGGCAAGAATACGGTACGGCCGCTTTGTACGCGCATTGGCCGTTGGCCATTTGCCTGCTTCCCATCATTAGTACTTGCATTGGATCATTGACATCTGTATTGGACTACTGACATATTTAATAGACTGTTGACATCTGTATAGGATCATTGACATCTGTGTTGGATCACTGACATCTTTAATTGACCATTGATATCCGCATTTGCATGTATAATTGGTTCGAATAGTTTTTCTCCACCCTTGGACTGATAAGTCCCAGTTCAGTATTCCGTGGCTCGGTGTGCAGTGTTCTCGTGACTTGTGTTCAGTGCTCCCGTTACTTGTGTTCAGTGCTCCCTTCGTGCCTTTTGTTTGGTACCCCCGTGACCTGTGTTCAGTGTTCTAGTGACTCGTGCTCGGTGCTCCCATGACATGTGTTCAGAGG